TATTATGTTGTAATCCTTAGAAGTCTCCATGACTTTCATCACACTTAAAATATAAAGTTTCTAACATTTTCCATGGCTTATGGATTCTTACACAGTCTGGATATACTAGGTCTTTAACTGCATCCTGGTCATTCACTTCCTTACTTCTGAGCTCTAGCTACACTAGCCCACTTCCTTTCCTCAGGGCATTGCATTTGCTGTTTTCTCCCTGGGAATCTCTCTCTCCAGATCTTTTCATCACTGGCTCCTTCTTATCATTCAAGTCTCTTAAATCATGTCATTTCAGAAACACTTCTCTGAACTCAATATATAAAGAGCTTTTCTTCTAACTCATTTTCTGTCCCTTGTATTTAATATTTTATTCCTATTTAATTTTTTTATAGCAACTATGACTATTTAAAATGGTGGAGAAGGAATGTTATATGTCAGGTTTATTATGGGAGAAGGAATGTCATATGTCAGGTTCACCACTATCTCTCTCAGCCTAGTAGGCATTATTATTTATGAAATGAATGACTATTTTATATACTTACTATATCCATATTCCTTCTCTTATTTCTCATTCTAGCTTTAAAAAATCGTTAGTAGGAAAGGATGCAACGAAAAAAAAACTACAGACCAATATCCTAATGAATATAGATGCAAAAATTTTCAACAAAATCTTAGCTAACCGAATCCAGACGCTTATCAAAAAAATAATCCATCACGACCAAGTGGGCTTCATCCAGGGATGCAGGGATGGTTCAACATACGTAAATCTATAAATGCAATTCACCACATAAACAGAAGCAAAAACAAAGACCACATGATTCTTTCAATAGATGCAGAAAAAGCTTTTGACAAAATTCAACATCCTTTCATGATACGAACACTTAATAAAATAGGCATAGAAGGAACATACCTAAAACTGATACAAGCCATATATGACAGACCCATAGCCAATCAATACTGAATGGGGAAAAATTAAAAGCATTCCCACTTAGAACTGGAACCAGACAAGGCTGCCCAGTATCTCCACTTCTGTTCAACTTAGTGCTGGAAGTCCTGGCTACAGCAATCAGACAGGAAAGTGGAATTAAAGGTATCCAAATAGGGGCAGAAGAGATCAAACTTTCACTGTTTGCTGATGATATGATATTATATTTAGAAAACCCAAAGATTCACCAAGAAACTCCTGGAGCTGATAAATAAATTAGTAAAGTTCAGGATACAAAATCAATACACAGAAATCAGAGGCATTCATATACGCCAACAACAATCAAATTGAGAACCAAATCAAAGACTCAATTCCCTTCACAATAGCAACAAAGAAATTAAAGTACCTAGGAATATACTTAACAAAGACGTAAAGACCTCTACAGGGAGAACTATGAAACACTGAGGAAGGAAATAGCAGAGGATGTTAACAGATGAAAATCCATACCATGCTCGTGGAGTGGCAGACTCAACATCATTAAAAATGTTCTACTACCCAACTGATCTACAGAGTCAATGCAATACCTATTAAAATCCATCAGCATTCTTCACAGATATAGAAAAAATAATGTTACCTTTGTATGGAACCAAAGAAGCACCGAATATCAAAAGCAATTCTAGGCAACAAAAACAAAATGGGAGGTATTAATATGCCAGATATCAAACTCTACTACAAAGCTGTAGTAATTAAATCAATCTGGTATTGGCAAAAATAGGGAATATTGACCACTGGACAGATCTGAGAATCCTAAAACCATCCTCATATAGCCATCTAATTTGGACAAAGCAGACAAAAACATATGCTGGGGAGAAGAATCCCTTTTCAATAATGTGTGCTGGGAACTGGAATGCCACTTGTAGAAGGCTAAAAGCACCCACCTTTCACTCTCACAAAAATCAACTCATGCTGGATAACACATCAACCTAAGGTATGAACTACTCTAGAATTCTAGAGAAAAAATTGTAAATCTCCTAGACCGCCTAGGCAAAAGGAATGAGAAAGCCCAAAGGGCGAAGCAACAAAATAAAGAATAAAATAAAAGCTGAAGCCAAAGAACCTATAGAAAAAAAACAAGCAACAACCATAATGGAAGCCTGAAACATGGAAAATGCAAACTAGGGCTGATAACTAGAATATATTAGTGTACACGAAAATCAGGAAGAAAAAAAAATAACCTATCAAAAATTGGCAAAGGACTTGAACAGAAACTTTTCTAAGGAAGACAGAAGAATGGCAACAAACATATGAAAAATGTCAACATCTCTAAATCCAAGGGAGTGATAACTAGAATAACTTAGAATCATGAAAATCAGGAAGAAAAAATCAAATAACCCTATTAAAAGTGTGGCAAAGGACTTGAACAGAAATTTTCTAAAGAAGACAGAAGAATGGCCAACAAACATATGAAAAATGCTCAACATCTCTAATCATCAGGGAAATGCAAATCAAAACCACAATGAGGTATCACTTAACTCCAGTGAGAATGGCCTTTATCAAAAGTCTCCAAAAATAGAGGCTGGCATGGATGCGGAGAGAGGGGAACACTCCTACACTGCTGGTGGGACTGCAAACTAGTTCAACCTCTGTGGAAAGCAATATGGAGATACCTTAAAACAATACAAGTGGACCTACCATTTGATCCAGCAATCCCATTGCAGGGCATCTACCCAGAAGATCCAGTGACACTCTACAGAAAAGACACCTGCCCTCAAATGTTTATAGCAGCACAATTCATAATTGCAAGACTGTGGAAACAGCCCAAGTGGCCATCAATCCAAGAATGGATTAATAAAATGTGGTATATGTATACCATGGAGTACTATTCAGCTCTAAGAAACAACGGTGATATAGCACATCTTATATTTTCCTGGTTAGAGCTGGAACCCATACTACTAAGCGAAGTATCCCAAGAATAGAAAAGCACCACATGTACACACCAGCAAACTGGTATTAACTGAGTAGCACCTAAGTGGACAAATAGGTACTAAACAGTAATAGGGTATTGGGGAGGGGGGAGGGGGGTGGGTATGTACATACATAATGAGTCAGATGCGCACCATCTGGAGGATGGGCATGCTGGAAACTCAGACTTGTGGGGATGGGGGGGAAAGGGCATTTATTGAAACCTTAAAATCTGTACCCCCATAATATGCTGAAATAAAAAAAATTTAAAAATTAAAAAAATAAAATTCTCAGCACTGAGTCTGAAAAAAAAATCAGTTAGTGATATTTGCCTTCCATATTTTCAGACAGTGTAAAAGTAAGCACCAAACAATGAGGGAACTTCAAGCAAGGTAGTGATATGTTCTAATATTTATTTTAATGTTTTCTTAACAGATAAATAAAATATAGCATATTAAATTGGCAGCATATGAGTGAGTATAAGAGGAGAAAAAGGTTTATGCTTTTACTTCCTCTTAAAAATAAGAAAAGACACTAGAGAATGGTTTAAAGTTCTAGTAGGAATAATCTTTGAATTCTGCTGCTTGAATAATCCAGTTCCAACCATAATATACCTTTTTATCGGACAAATATATAAGGCCAAATGGTTTGAAGGCATTGGAGAGCAACTCACTCAGGTAGGTAGGACTTGAGCTATTATCCTAAGAGAAGGTCATCTCCATGTGAACATTGGCTTTTCTCTGAGGTCATGTTCCAAATCATGGAGCAAAGCAATAAAGACCAAGCTTAAAGTGGCAGTCATTTAGGGCAAAGAAGACAGATAGTGGTCAGGTCTTAGAGCCGTTCAAATTACTGAGACATAGGCACAAAATCTCAGACAGGAAGGAATTACAAAGGAAAAGCCCCAAAATTTATGTACAGATTTCCCTCTAGTAGTTGGTGATTCTGTAATTGGACATGCATGGGGCAAGACTCAGACCCAGCACAAAATTGCAGAAGGAGCCGAAAGGGCTGAAAATTTAACAGCCACATGGTACAGAGGAGACAGAGGTTAGCATTTAAGGCTGCCAAGGTAGCGGCCTTTGGTAAACAATGCCTGGCTTTCAGCTGAAATCTCAGAGTCACTTCTACAAGTATGGCTGAAAACTGAAATTGACTGTTCTTAACAATACCTAAATCCAAGGTAATCTTCCTGTACTCAACTGTGTTTCAGGAAAAAAAGACTTCACCTTTTTAGAAGATAACATCAGGCAAAGCCTCTGTAATTTTTTATTCGTATAGTCTGGTTTTAAATAAAAAATTACAGTGCAGCCTGAAAATAAAAAAAGCATATCCTAGAGATTGTATCTGCACAAATGAAGTATGTACAAGATTATTCACTGTGAAAGTTTCCATGATAACAAAATATTGGAAATATCCCAAGGGACTATCAAAAGGGGATTGATTAAACAAATTATGCCTATTTATATATAATGCAGTAGTTTTCACAGAGGTGCTGTCAGACTTTCCTGACCATTCTAGGGCAGTTTCCATTTTTGGTCCTAGCATAATAAATGCAGGTTGCATCTTCAAGGTTTGAGACATCTCAAAATGCTCTCACATATTTTCATATGCCTCTGGAGTATACTATTCCAATTGAGAATCATTAATATCATGGAATTCTCTGCACCTATAATAAAAACAGAGTGAGAAAACTGTGAACTGATACAGAAGAATCAGGAAGGTGTATTTGTAAGAGTAAAATGCAAAGTACAGAGCGGTAAGTATAGTTTGGTATGTTTTGTTTAAAAAAAGAAAATTAATATATATTTGTATTGCTTATGTATGCATAAAAATTCTGTAGTAATATGTAAGAAACTAATAAAAGTGATCATCTGGGGCCTGCTTGGGTGAAGGGAGATGAGAATGGGTGAAATACATTTACTGTATTGTTTTTTTGTATTGTTTTGATTTTTTAAATGTGGATATATTACTGGAATTTTTAAATAATAAAGTAAAATTTTAGATAAGTTATGATTAGATATAATAATTTCTAAGAGGTTTATTTAAAATTTACATATTCATTAAAAACTGTTTTGATCTTTTCCCAATCCTGTCTCATTTTACCTTCCCTTTCATTCAGTGGAGTGGGCCGAAACTGGGGCTGGGCATCTGCAGGTAGCAGCATTCTGGCTGAATTTGGTACACTGCATATGGAGTTTGTCCATCTCAGCTACTTGACAGGGGACCTGGTTTACTACAAAAAGGTTAGTTTTCTTGCCTTCTTTTCTTTGTTTGTTATAAAAAGAGTCCTTTAAGATTTGGCCAAGGACTTGATTAATGCTTAAAATGTTTGCCTTTCTAGATTCATATTTATCAGGGCTCTGGCCTTTATTTTTTTCTTTTTAAATTATCTAAAGAAATGTCTTTTCTATTTAGAACATATTTAAAATAGATATTGTTATTTGAGAATTGTGACCACTATTAGGTTTTTAAAGAATTGCATTGCAGTTCCTAGTCAGCAGCATTAAGATAAGAAAAAATAAACAACGGTTTAAGAATTGGACTGGAAGACTGGGCACAGTGGCTCACACCTGTAATTCTAGCACTTTAGTATGCAGGGGTGGAAGAATCACTTGAGGCCAGGAGTTTAAGACCAGTCTAAGCAAAGACGACACCCGTCTCTACAAAAAATAGAAAAATTAGCTGAGCATGGTGGCATGCACCTTGTCCCAGCTCCTTGGGAGACTGGGAGGATTGCTTGACCCCAGGAATTCAAGGTCACGGTGAGCTATGATGAGGCCACTGCACTCCAGCCTGGGTGATACAGCGAGACCCTGTCTCTAAAAAAAAAAACATTGAAAAGGAAGAAAATAGTAATTATAGATTACATGATCATCTACCTAATATATTAAAACAATATATAGTTAAATTGCTAGAAATGAGTTTAATATTTTTTTGAGTTAATATTTAATGTAGATATTAAAAGTTAGTGCCATTTCTCTACACCAGCTACAAAAGGCAAGAAATTGTCATTTTATAAAAAGATACTTTATGTAGTAGGGAAAAAAATATAAATTTCCTGCAAATGAATCTAACAAAAGATAAAGTTCAAAGCTTTTCAGGCACAGAAAAAGAATGAAATCCTATTATTTGCAGCAACATGAATGGAGCTGAAAGACATATGTTAAGTGAAATAAGCCATGCACAAAAAGACAAATATCATGTTCTTATATGCAGGTGCTAAAAAAAATTGAGCTCAGGCCGGGTGCGGTGGCTCACCCATGTAATCCTAACACTCTGGGAGGCCAAGGAGGGCAGATTTCTCAAGGTCAGGAGTTGGAAACCAGCCTGAGCAAGAGCAAAACCCCGTCTCTACTATAAATAGAAAGAAATTAATTGGTCAACTAATATATATAGAAAAAATTAGCTGGGCATGGTGGTACATGCCTGTAGTCCCAGCTACTCAGGAGGCTGAGGTAGTAGGATCGCTTGAGCCCAAGAGTTTGAGGTTGCTGTGAGCTAGGCTGATGCCATTGAAACCTAGATAATCTTTCTAAATGCTATTCCTTAAATTATGTTGTAATCCTTAGAAGTCCTCCATGACTTTCATCACACTTAAAATATAAAGTTTTCTAACATTTTTCCATGGCTTATGGATTCTTACACAGTCTGGATATACCTAGGTCTTTAACTGCATCCTGGTCATTCACTTCCTTACTTTCTGAGCTCTAGCTACACTAGCCCACTTCTTTCCTCTAGGCCATTGCATTTGCTGTTTTCTCCCTGGGAATCCTTCTCCAGATCTTTTCATCACTGGCTCCTTCTTATCATTCAAGTCTCTTAAATCATGTCATTTCAGAAACACTTTCTCTGAACTCAATATATAAAGAGCTTTTCTTCTAACTCATTTTCTGTCCCTTGTATTTAATATTTTATTCCTATTTAATTTTCTTTATAGCAACTATGACTATTTAAAATGTGGGAGAAGGATGTTATATGTCAGTTTATTATGGGAGAAGGAATGTCATATGTCAGGTTCACCACTATCTCTCTCAGCTAGTAGGCATTATTATTTATGAAATGAATGACTATTTTATATACTTACTATATCCATATTCCTTCTCTTTTCTCACTTCTAGCTTTAAAAAATCGTTAGTAGGAAAGGATGCAACGAAAAAAGAAAACTACAGACCAATATCCTAATGAATATAGATGCAAAAATTTCAACAAAATCTTAGCTAACCGAATCCAGACGCTTATCAAAAAATAATCCATCACGACCAAGTGGGCTTCATCCAGGGATGCAGGGATGGTTCAACATACGTAAATCTATAAATGCATTCACCACATAAACAGAAGCAAAAACAAAGACACATGATTCTTTCAATAGATGCAGAAAAAGCTTTGACAAAATTCAACATCCTTTCATGATACGAACACTTAATAAAATAGGCATAGAAGGAACATACCTAAAACTGATACAAGCCATATATGACAGACCCTAGCCAATCAATACTGAATGGGGAAAATTAAAAGCATTCCCACTTAGAACTGGAACCAGACAAGGCTGCCCAGTATCTCCACTTCTGTTCAACTTATGCTGGAAGTCCTGGTACAGCAATCAGACAGGAAGTGGAATTAAAGGTATCAAATAGGGGCAGAAGAGATCAAACTTTCACTGTTTGCTGATGATATGATATTATATTTAGAAACACCCAAGATTCAACCAAGAAACTCCTGGAGCTGATAAATAAATTTAGTAAAGTTCAGGATACAAAATCAATACACGAAATCAGAGGCATTCATATACGCCAACAACAATCAAATTGAGAACCAATCAAAGACTCAATTCCTTCACAATAGCAACAAAGAAATTAAAGTACCTAGGAATATACTTAACAAGACGTAAAGACCTCTACAGGGAGAACTATGAAACACTGAGGAAGGAAATAGCAGAGGATGTTAACAGATGAAAATCCATACCATGCTCGTGGAGTGGCAGACTCAACATCATTAAAATGTTCTACTACCCAACTGATCTACAGAGTCAATGCAATACCTATTAAAATCCATCAGCATTCTTCACAGATATAGAAAAAATAATGTTACCTTTGTATGGACCAAAGAAGCCCGAATATCAAAAGCAATTCTAGGCAACAAAAAAAATGGGAGGTATTAATATGCCAGATATCAAACTCTACTACAAAGCTGTAGTATTAAATCAATCTGGTATTGGCACAAAAATAGGATATTGACCACTGGACAGATCTGAGAATCCTAAAACCATCCTCATATTGCCATCCAATTTGGACAAAGCAGACAAAAACATATGCTGGGGAGAAGATCCTTTCAATAAATTGTGCTGGGAACTGGAATGCCACTTGTAGAAGGCTAAAAGCACCCACACTTTCACCTCACAAAAATCAACTCATGCTGGATAACACATAACCTAAGGTATGAATACTCTAGAATTCTAGAGGAATAAAATTTAATCTCCTAGACCGCCTAGGCAAAAGAATGAAGAAAGTCCCAAAGGCGCCGAAGCAACAAAAATAGAATGAATAAAATAAAAGTTCTGCACAGCCAAAGAACCATAGAAAAAAAAAAGCAACAACCTACTGAAATGGAATTGCTCCTGAAACATGGAAAAATGCAAACTAGGGCGATAACTAAATATATATGTAACTCACGAAAATCAGGAAGAAAAAACAAATAAACCTATCAAAAATTGGCAAAGGACTTGAACAGAAACTTTTCTAAGGAAGACAGAAGAATGGCCAACAAACATATGAAAAATGTTCAACATCTTAATCAAGGGAGCTGATAACTAGAATAATACTTAGAACTCATGAAAATCAGGAAGAAAAAATCAAATAACCCTATAAAAAGTGGCAAAGGACTTGAACAGAAACTTTTCTAAAGAAGACAGAAGAATGGCCAACAAACATATGAAAAAATGCTCAACATCTCTAATCATCAGGGAAATGCAAATCAAAACCACAATGAGGTATCACTTAACTCCAGTGAGAATGGCCTTTATCAAAAAGTCTCCAAACAATAGAGGCTGGCATGGATGCGGAGAGAGGGGAACACTCCTACACTGCTGGTGGACTGCAAACTAGTTAACCTCTGTGGAAAGCAATATGGAGATACCTTAAACAATACAAGTGGACCTACATTTGATCCAGCAATCCCATTGCAGGGCATCTACCCAGAAGATCCAGTGACACTCTACAGAAAAGACACCTGCCCTCAAATGTTTATAGCAGCACAATTCATAATTGCAAGACTGTGGAAACAGCCCAAGTGGCATCAATCCAAGAATGGATTAATAAAATGTGGTATATGTATACCATGGAGTACTATTCAGCTCTAAGAAACAACGGTGATATAGCACATCTTATATTTTCCTGGTTAGAGCTGAACCCATACTAAGCGAAGTATCCCAAGAATAGAAAAGCACCAATGTACACACCAGCAAACTGGTATTAACTGAGTAGCACCTAAGTGGACAAATAGGTACTAAACAGTAATAGGGTATTGGAGGGGGGGAGGGGTGGGTATTACATACATAATGAGTCAGATGCGCACCATCTGGAGGATGGGCATGCTGGAAACTCAGACTTGTGGGATAGGGGGAAAGGGCATTTATTGAAACCTTAAAATCTGTACCCCCATAATATAGCTGAAAAAAAAATTAAAATTAAAAAAATAAAATTCTCAGCACTGAGTCTGAAAAAAAAATCAGTTAGTGATATTTGCCTTCCATATTTCAGAACGTCTAAAAGTAAGCACCAAACAATGAGGGAACTTCAAGCAAGGTAGTGATATGTTCTAATATTTATTTTAATGTTTTCTTAACAGATAAATAAATATAGCATATTAAATTGGCAGCATATGAGTGAGTATAAGAGGAGAAAAAGGTTTATGCTTTTACTTCCTCTTAAAAATAAGAAAAGACACTAGAGAATGGTTTAAAGTTCTAGTAGGAATAATCTTTGAATTCTGCTGCTTGAATAATCCAGTTCCAACCATAATATACCTTTTTATCGGAAAATATATAAGGCCAAATGGTTTGAAGGCATTGGAGAGCAACTCACTCAGGTAGGTAGGACTTGAGCTATTATCCTAAGAGAAGGTCATCTCCATGTGAACATTGGCTTTTCTCTGAGGTCATGTTCCAAATCATGGAGCAAAGCAATAAAGACCAAGGTTAAAGTGGCAGTCATTTAGGGCAAGAAGACAGATAGTGGTCAGGTCTTAG